TTTGCAAATGTTGGCCTTTTCCTTGCAGCCTTCAGATACTTCGCCAGTCTGTACACATTTATCTAATCTAGTGGACATTTTGGAAGTGGGATCTTAATTCATTACCTGCAGCCACAAATCTGCAGGTGATTACTGTATTTCAGCAGGCAGGTTTCCTCACCATCACAACACACTGCCAGTGTTGAAAGCACAGTCTGACTTAGCCAGTATTACTACCACTCCTACTTAAGATCTCATTCCCTCAGATATAAAACATTTAATCCCATTCAAACTCTCCACACACTTTTAATTTTGTTTCAGTAAGTGCTAGGACATCAGTTTGCTTTCATTAATAACAATAACACTCAAAGAACAGTTAGCTTCACAGCACAATTTTAAGGCCTAACATGCAGTGTCAGTAAAGCAAATCTTATAATTGTAGGAATTTGTTAACTCCTTTGTTAAGTCCATAATTATCATTACTTCCAATTTATTGGCAATTTATAGATTTTCTCGGGAAACACTGACTGCTGGCAATGTACAAGATGTATCGAGTTCCAATACAGGTGGTCTAAATTTACAAATGCCCCAAGCCATGCACACACATTCACTTAAAAACTGATCACTCAGGACCCAAAAATTTACAAATAAAAAAAAACATACACATACAACTTTTGCCAGTTAAAATAAAACAGGAATGCAATTTGTTTTTAAGTTGGGACCTCTTGCATACGTCTCTCAATGCATGACTACGGTGGAACCTCGGCACTTGAACTTAATTGGTTCCAGAAGGCTGCTCGAGTACCAATCTGTTCGAGTATAGAACAAATTTTTCCAAACCAATTTTCTTTTTGGTTGGCTGTTATCACTAACCCTCTCATGCCCCATGGTGACTTATTTATAAAATATAAAAAAAAAAAAATGCGAAGAAACACAAAATAGTTTACATCGAAGTTCTGGCAGGTCGTGTTTGTTTGGTCAGGTGCCGAGCAAACAGTCGACTATCAAGCGATTTGTTTACCAAACAAAGCATTCAAATACCGAACTGTTCAAGTATGGAGCTGTTCGAGTACTGAGGTTCCACTGTATTTTACTCCTTCCAAGTTTGAAGGATGTGTGTCACTATATGATACAATGGTACCCAGAGATTTGGCCATAATTCGTTCCAGAAGGCTGTTCGAGTGCCGTTACCAAACGAATTTGTTCCCATAAGGAATAATGTAAATTAGATTAGCCCGTTTCAGACCCCCAAAAATACACTCACTAAAGAACTTACAATAATACACTTACATAATTGTTCGAGTTGGGAGCTGTTCAAAACTCAGGGTACCACTGTATCTGGATAGTTAGGCAGACTGAGAAAATGCTACTTACATCCTCAATAAAACTTGGATATAGAACTGTTAATAAAAACTTCACTCATCTTTTGCATTTTCTACAATGTTGCTTTATCATGCTACTCATACACTCACACAGTAGAACAAACTGCATGATACAAAACTGAAATGAGGTAATTCAACAGGAAAATTATTCCAAAATTTTACAATTGGAAAAATTACAATGTAGATTACCTATTTCATGTTTCCACAGTTAGAAATATTCAAATTAATAAGTGCACAAAATTAATACCAAAGTTCCATACAAGTGCACAGTGTGTTAGAGGTGCTGTCATTCACTCCAAAGATTATCAAGTACATATATTTAATCACTCCATTTTGAGACAACTAGATACTACAGCTTACATTTGCAAAGCAGGAAAGTACCAGTGACCCAGCTGCAAGTGTAAACACAATAAGTAACTAGTTCAAGGTCTTCTAGATATACTAAATAAAGAACATCAAATAAAATATAATGAGCAGGTGCAGAAATTTGGACACGTACAAAATTAGTGCAAAACATTTCAGTGGACGAGTACTGTATATCCACTCAGTGAATATATTCATATTTCAAATACAATGAAAGATTGTTAGCAGAATTTCTAAGGATGCTTGCTTTCAAAGAAAGCTAAAAACATTATTTTCAATTTGAATAGAACATTCTACTGTAGTATAATGTACAAATTACATATGAACATAAAAGGAGCTTGTTTATTTTTTGTTTTACAATCCTGTCAACCAATTTCCAAAATGTTGGGGAAACTAAATAAAACACATTCACCATCATTCCATGAACAGTTATCTTGCCAGAAGTGTGCATGTATCAGAATTAGAAAGTCTCCCCCAAACTGTAACATTGCAGGTCAAGGTAATAATAAAACCAATCCTAGCAATAAGTTGACAAGCAATATTCTAGTGTATGGTACAGAAGCTTAATCTTAATTTACACCTAATCAAAATGTATGTGCTTGGTAAGGCACATAATTATTGTGAGAAAATTAGTGCTAATTGAACAAACTTTATTGTTTCTAACACCAAGTATTTATGTCTGAATGTCGCATACTTGTCAAAGAATTTCAGTGTATCACGCACATATATTTACTTAACCTTAATTTTACACTTGATCTGTATGTTGATACTTGGTATGGCACATAATGAAAGTAAGTGTTAAAGCAGCAAAAGTTGCATCAAGTATCAATTGACTGTCATGCCACAAAAATAAAACATGCAGACAACACAATGATGTAGTGATCAGTTATCTGATCAGCAGCCATTGTTGCACAGATATACTGTGTTACACTGCAATTACTTGCTTCCTATGTCTGCTAATACTACCCCACATGATGTACATACAGTATTGAGCAAATGTACCTGAAAGAGAACAATATATGTATTTGGTAGATTTACCGTTTTGCTGGTGCAGGTATCTGAGCCTGGTTTCTTTTTAAACCCGAATTTTTATTTGTTTCAAAATTCCTCATAACCTAATTGTTCTAGATTTTTAGTGTTCCACTGTATTACCTAAAACAAAGTAAAATACAGTATGTACGTATATCCATTCTAAATATATTTAATGTACAGTAGACCGTTATATTATACGGTTCTATTTGGCATGTTTCGGTTATCGAACTATTGAAAAATTGCAGCAATTTTATGTAACACTTTGTAAAATTAACTTAACATGGTTCGGTTTGCAGGAGGGGAAAAAATTTGGACTGTTGCTCTATGAATCCTCGTGCTTTGAAAGGTGTAGATAAAAACACCTTACCAGTAATCTGGAAGTCAAACCAGTCAGCATGGATAACAGAGGAAATATTTATTGATTGGTTTAAGCATCACTTTATTCCTGAAGTCAAGTTTTACTTGCACAGCAAGAACCTGCATTCAAGGCTCTCTTCATTCTTGATAATTCCTGTACTCATCCACAAGCTTTGCTGGATGTGACCCCACATGTAAAAGTTGTATTTTTACCTCCAAATACAACATCTTTAATACAGCCATTGGATCAGGGAGTTATTAAGTCATTCAAGTGTTACTACACAAAAAGAGTTAAGAAAAAACTAGCTGCATCAATGGACTCTGACTCCAACCTGGCAGTACCAAGTTGCTGGAATAAATTTAACACAGCAGATGCCATCAGCTATGCTAGAAGTGCAAGGAATGAAGTGCCCCAATCAACATTAAATGCAGGCTGGGGAAAGTTATGGCCTTCTCTAGTTAGTTCTTTTCCCTTGCTTGAGTCAGGTTCAGGAAATTGTTCAGCTGGCAAGAAGAGTACCAGGTGGTGGTTCTGAAGATACGAATGATGATGATGTGAATGAACTCTTAGAAGATGATGATGATGAAGACAGGGGCTCCGAGGAAATGTTGGCAGAGCTCGGTGCACAGATACAAGGGAGCCACATAACAAAAGATTAAGAACCTGAAGAACAGTTAACACTGCAGCAGTTCCATGAGCAGTTCCATGTTACTGCTAAACTAGCAGACTTTTTTCACTGAAGAGGACCCTGACAAATCTAGAAGCAGTGCTTTGAAATGAGGTCTAGACCAGTTGATGATGCCTTACACTGTATAATGTACTGCAGGGTAAAAGAACCCATAGATCCATTACAGAATTTATGCACACTCCAATACAACGATCGACTTCAGTACCAGAACTTCTACCATCCACTTCTGCCGAAAAATCAACAACCATCCACCTCAACCCAGTAGGACCAAACCATGCATCTCCACTGTCTTCACAATCACTGACATATCCCAGCAACCACAATTTAAGGTAATAAATACTATTATTTTTGTTTCAAGTGTAGTCGTAAGCAGTAAAAACATAATATACCATGACAATGAACTACAATTACATATTCACTTTTGTTTTTGTAAGATCTGTTGGTCTAAAAAAAAGTTGTTTGGCTTTTTGGGGGCTCCCAGGAACATAACCCTATTTTTCCCGTAAGTTCTTCAGTTTATCTAACACTGTTTTACCTAACATGGCGTTTTCAGAAACGTAACTACCATGTAATATAAAGGTCTACTGTAACTAATAATTCTGAAGTACAATATGCAAATTTATACATAAAGTGATTCTAGTAAATGGTAGAGCAAACAGCTCAAGAGCAGAAAGATTCAGAATCAGTACAAAAGCAAATTCAAATGTATGGGCAAGTCTTACTCAGCTGCCCCTGTTCACCAATGAGTAGGTAGATACAGTATTTAGGAATTAGTTGGCTGTTGTGAGTCATTTTAGGGAAGAAGATTTAAAAAACCTATCAAAATAAGTCACACTGCTGGTTTTCTTGAGTTATTCTGGATTGTTAACCTTCTACCAAAGAAGTAACAAACATTGATTTTGTAGAATTAACACTGACATTAAGAAATTCAAAATTTAAATACATTAGTACTGCATAAAGATTAAAGTCAATAACAGTTTTTATATAAATACAAAATAAGAAAAAGTAGTCCAGGTAAGAAAAATCACAATAATATACTGCACTATAACTATACACAATTGCTAATCAATGACTGTGATCCCCATCCTACATGAACAAATTTTAACTAAAAATATTCATCAAAACCAAACTGACCATGACAATTCTTATAACAAATAAATTTTATTATGGTATATGAATAACTGGGCAGGCAACTTACAAGGCCGTGCTTGCTGAGGCATCTGATAACTCATGGCGCCGGCTCAGCTCGGCACTGCAACAAAAAAAAATCGACATCAGAACTGTTCGGTAATGTCCCTTGCACAGCACTTTAATATACTGTGACTGCCAAGATATTAGGTAAAACCAAAGCAATAATGTACATGAGAAAAAATACCATAAGAACAAATGAAAGAGGATGTTTCCAACTTACAAGCCAAAAAATGTTTTAAACTATAGTGCAGAATTATTTTAACCCTTTCAGGGTCAACAGGCCCTTTCAGAGACTTGTTCTCAGGGTCGGCCAAATTTAAAAAAAAAAAATTATTATTTTTTCTTATGAAAAGAGAGAATCTTTTCCCGATCATAATGACACCAAAAGTATGAAATTTGATGGAAAACATATGGGATTATGCTCTCGCAAAGTTAGCTGTCTCGACGATGTTTACGCATCGGCGATTTTGCCCAATTTGAGCCCTATTTTCAGCCAATTCCAGTGTACTAGTCGACAAAAATCATAACTATTTTGTTAGAACTCCATTTTTTCTATTAAATGAATACAAGAAACCACCCATTTACCAATTTCAACTATCCAATACAGTGGTCAGAATTTAGTAATTTTGCCAATTTCACACAAATTCCAAAAGTTGCCAATTTCCGAATAGGGTGTCCAGAATAAACAAGAGACATTCCTGGCACTAAAATAACATTTCCTCTGTTCATTAGTCACGTCCCCACGCCCCTCTTACATTCTTTTGCTTTCCACTTTGAATTTTTATTCTCACAAAAAAAAAAAAAAAATAGAAGATTTACTGTTATGCATACTACTGCATTAGTGTAGAAATGGTATAAATAATATCAGTGCACTTGTGAAAGAATATTAGACTCGCCAGTTGATGTGTATTGGACACATAGCATGATTTGTTTACTTTTGAACTTTGGTAAAAATCAAACATTTTTGCTACTTTGAGCTCAATTTCAAGTTATTTTTCATTGTAAAACCAGTCAAAATCATCTCAATTTCTGCAATATGTCTTCCATTCTATAAAATGAGACCAGAAAAACTAGAATACAACAATAAATACCAAACGAAAATACAGTGCAAAGTCGCTGTTTTAATCCAAACACACGGTCAAAGTTTTTTTCTCATTACGCACTATGTCAGTGGTATTCACTGCGCGGCTCAGCGAGCCGCTGGCGGTTCGCGATGACTGAATTCACGGCTCTCAAAAAATATATAAATTAATTAATAAAAAAAATATATAGAAAAATAATTTTTCAAGTAAGATACATATTTTCATGAGGTGAGATGGAAGACGAAGTCACAGTAAGAGATAACATTCTAACATCCCTACCCTAGTCGTACAGAAATCATACGTGTCCACTACGGGAAACTGATCAGGGACACGTCTGGCTCTAGGCGTCGGTGGTCTCACTGAATCAGTTGAGTTCAAGCTTTTCGTATTTCGTTACTCTTGGAGATTTGTGTTTGAAAATAGGCAACAGATATTTGAGACTGCGGCAACATATATGAAAGTAACGACTTAACTATTGCTGCTTGTGGAAGCTAGCTGCGATGGGCTAGTTTTACTTGAAACCAAAGTGCAGTCAAGTAGTGTCCGTTATGATGGATCGATTTGTGGTTAAACAAAAACGCAATAGTGATGAACAGCCATCCCAGACCCGACCAGTAGAAAAGGAGCATTAAGTAAGTTTGGTCTTTATTTTGCTATTAATAACAAGATTATTTTTTTTTTTATTATCACACTGGCCGATTCCCACCAAGGCAGGGTGGCCCGAAAAAGAAAAACTTTCACCATCATTCACTCCATCACTGTCTTGCCAGAAGGGTGCTTTACACTACAGTTTTTAAACTGCAACATTAACACCCCTCCTTCAGAGTGCAGGCACTGTAATTCCCATCTCCAGGACTCAAGTCCGGCCTGCCGGTTTCCCTGAACCCCTTCATAAATGTTACTTTGCTCACACTCCAACAGCACGTCAAGTATTAAAAACCATTCGTCTCCATTCACTCCTATCAAACACGCTCACGCACGCCTGCTGGAAGTCCAAGCCCCTCGCACATAAAACCTCCTTTACCCCCTCCCTCCAACCTTTCCTAGGCCGACCCCTACCCCGCCTTCCTTCTACTACAGACTGATACACTCTTGAAGTCATTCTGTTTCACTCCATTCTCTCTACATGTCCGAACCACCTCAACAACCCTTCCTCAGCCCTCTGGACAACAGTTTTGGTAATCCCGCACCTCCTCCTAACTTCCAAACTACGAATTCTCTGCATTATATTCACACCACACATTGCCCTCAGACATGACATCTCCACTGCCTCCAGCCTTCTCCTTGCTGCAACATTCATCACCCATACTTCACACCCATATAAGAGTGTTGGTAAAACTATACTCTCATACATTCCCCTCTTTGCCTCCAATCAAACATTTTTGCTACTTTGAGCTCAATTTCTTTGTCTCCACAGACTCCAAAGTGCACCACTCACCCTTTTCCCCTCATCAATTCTATGATTCACCTCATCCTTCATAGACCCATCCGCGGACACATCCACTCCCAAATATCTGAATACATTCACCTCCTCCATACTCTCTCCCTCCAATCTGATATCCAATCTTTCATCACCTAATCTTTTTGTTATCCTCATAACCTTACTCTTTCCTGTATTCACTTTTAATTTTCTTCTTTTGCACACCCTACCAAATTTATCCACCAATCTCTGCAACTTCTCTTCAGAATCTCCCAAGAGCACAGTGTCATCAGCAAAGAGCAACTGTGACAACTCCCACTTTATGTGTGATTCCTTATCTTTTAACTCCACGCCTCTTGTCAAGACCCTCGCATTTACTTCTCTTACAACCCCATCTATAAATATATTAAACAACCACGGTGACATCACACATCCCTGTCTAAGGCCTACTTTTTATGGGAAATAATTTCCCTCTTTCTATGGACTCTAACTTGAGCCTCACTATCCTCGTAAAAACTCTTCACTGCTTTCAGTAACCTACCTCCTACACCATACACCTGCAACATCTGCCACATTGCCCCCTATCCACCCTGTCATATGCCTTTTCCAAATCCATAAATGCCACAAAGACCTCTTTAGCCTTATCTAAATACTGTTCACTTATATGTTTCACTGTAAACACCTGGTCACACACCCCCTACCTTTCCTAAAGCCTCCTTGTTCATCTGCTATCCTATTCTCAGTCTTACTTTTAATTCTTTCAATAATAACTCGACCATACACTTTACCAGGTATACTCAACAGACTTATCCCCCTATAATTTTTGCACTCTCTTTTGTCCCCTTTGCCTTTATACAAAGGAACTATGCATGCTTTCTGCAATCCTAGGTACCTTACCCTCTTCCATACATTTATTAAATAATTGCACCAACCACTCCAAAAACTATATCCCCACCTGCTTTTAACATTTCTATCTTTATCCCATCAATCCCGGCTGCCTTACCCCCTTTCATTTTACCTACTGCCTCACGAACTTCCCCCACACTCACAACTGGCTCTTCCTCACTCCTACAAGATGTTATTCCTCCTTGCCCTATACACGAAATCACAGCTTCCCTATCTTCATCAACATTAACAATTCCTCAAAATATTCCCTCCATCTTCCCAATACCTCTAACTCTCCATTTAATAACTCTCCTCTCCTATTTTTAACTGACAAATCCATTTGTTCTCTAGGCTTCCTTAACTTGTTAATCTCACTCCAAAACTTTTTCTTATTTTCAACAAAATTTGTTGATAACATCTCACCCACTCTCTCATTTGCTCTCTTTTTACATTGCTTCACCACTCTCTTAACCTCTCTCTTTTTCTCCATATACTCTTCCCTCCTTGCATCACTTCTACTTTGTAAAAACTTCTCATATGCTAACTTTTTCTCCCTTACTACTCTCTTTACACCATCATTCCACCAATCGCTCCTCTTCCCTCCCGCACCCACTTTCCTGTAACCACAAACTTCTGCTGAACACACTAACACTACATTTTTTAAACCTACCCCATACCTCTTCGACCCCATTGCCTATGCTCTCATTAGCCCATCTATCCTCCAATAGCTGTTTATATCTTTCCCTAACTGCCTCCTCTTTTAGTTTATAAACCTTCACCTCTCTCTTCCCTGATGCTTCTATTCTCCTTGTATCCCACTACCTTTTACTCTCAGTGTAGCTACAACTAGAAAGTGATCTGATATATCTGTGGCCCCTCTATAAACATGTACATCCTGAAGTCTACTCAACAGTCTTTTATCTACCAATACATAATCCAACAAACTACTGTCATTTCGCCCTACATCATATCTTGTATACTTATTTATCCTCTTTTTCTTAAAATATGTATTACCTATAACTAAACCCCTTTCTATACAAAGTTCAATCAAAGGGCTCCCATTATCATTTACACCTGGCACCCCAAACTTACCTACCACACCCTCTCTAAAAGTTTCTCCTCTTTAGCATTCAGGTCCGCTACCACAATTACTCTCTCACTTGGTTCAAAGGCTCCTATACATTCACTTAACATCTCCCAAAATCTCTCTCTCTCCTCTGCATTCCTCTCTTCTCCAGGTGCATACACGCTTATTATGACCCACTTCTCGCATCCAACCTTTACTTTAATCCACATAATTCTTGCATTTACACATTCATATTCTCTTTTCTCCTTCCATAACTGATCATTCAACATTACTGCTACCCCTTCCTTTGCTCTAACTCTCTCAGATACTCCAGATTTAATCCCATTTATTTCCCCCCACCGAAACTCCCCTACCCCCTTCAGCTTTGTTTCGCTTAGGCCCAGAACATCCAACTTCTTTTCATTCATAACATCAGCAATCATCTGTTTCTTGTCATCTGCACTACATCCACACACATTCAAGCATCCCAATTTTATAAAGTTTTTCTTCTTCTCTTTTTTAGTAAATGTCTACAGGAGAAGGGGTTACTAGCCCATTGCTCCCGGCATTTTAGTCGCCTCATACGACACGCATGGCTTACGGAGGAA